GCCCGAGAGAGGGATAGCCGAAACTGGTCACATTCCCACCATGAAAATATCTTTGGTGACGTGGCGAAAAAATCTTTTGAGATCCCGCCTAAAGCCCCAATTCCCAAGCCCGCGCGTAGTCTACCTCATTCAATTCGCCTCACTTGCCTTTCATAATTGATAATTTGATAGATATCTATTCACAAATCAACGCATATCTCATTATCTCTCTCCATAAAGATTTTTTCGTTTCCTCTAGCGAAACCCTTATTCCTCAGTTTTCTGTACCAAGGTACGCTTTGACAGATTTTTCTTCTATTTTCCGTTTATTGATTTGATTATTTACTCTTTATTTTGTTTTTCCGATGTTCAGATGACAGGAGGAAAATCGAAGGCTGGTTCCAGGAAGGCCGACAGCAGGTGAACTTTTATGTTTTCATTGTTTATTTATGTTTTTATTGTGATTTTTTGGTTGCTGGACGATTTATCATCTGTTTGTACAAATTTAGGTTTACAGATGTGTACAATCTGTAACGTTGTTTGGTAATGTTCTGTTTTATCCAATTGACCTTGATGAAAATGAATTTTGTTCGAAACAACAAATTTAGGTTTACAGATGTGTACAATCTGTAAGGTTCTTTGGTAATGTTCTGTTTTATCCAATTGACCTTGATGAAAATGAATTTTGTTCAGTTTGTTTTGTACTCGCGGATTTATGTTTGATTCTTATGATGTAGCTGATAGAAAATCAACCATCCATTAGTTGTTCTATTTGGCTTTGCTGGCCTTGGTACTTCTTTTAATTATATACAGTTAAATTTATGCATGATATGTTTCTCTGGCTTTACTTGATTGTTGTTCTATCCTTGGCAATTATGTGATATTTTTGATGTAAGTGAAATTGCAGAGGAAGTTACACTGATTTAACTTCATCATGACCGATAATTTTATGCTTTGTCCTATTTTTCACAATTTTTCTGAAAACAAAATAAAACTATGACCTTAGTTATCCCACATTTATTTAATTGAAGTATAATTTCAGTTTTCTTCCTGCTGACTTGCCAAAGAGTGTTTAATTATGGTTGTATATTGTGATGATATTAGGCTTGCTGTGAAGAAGCAGACTAAAAAGGATAAGAAAGCTGCAAAAGATCCAAACAAGCCGAAGAGGGCTCCAAGTGCTTTCTTTGTGTTCATGTATTACAGATCCCACTTTCTAATATTTGACTCCTTGACTTTCGTTCTATGTATAATCTTTTCAATTCTTGATACTTCTTGTGATGTGCTGATGAGTAGTCCAAAATTTGGTGTCATTCTGTTTGTGGCTGCAGGGAAGGCTTCAGGAAGCAGTACAAGGAAAAGAACCCCAACAACAAAGCTGTTTCTGCTGTGAGTAACCTTTTTCATGTTTCACTTTTTTGCTTTACTCTCTCTCTCTCTGTCTTGTTTTAGTTTAACTTGGGTCCATGAATTATATACTTTGTAGTTTCGTGGTTTTGTCTGATAAAGTTAATGTGGTGTATAGGTTGGTAAAGCTGGTGGTGAAAAGTGGAAATCCTTGAGCGAAGAGGTGATCATTATTCCAAGATATAATTTTGTATTCTTTTGCGGTCTATTTACTGACTTCATGTTGGTAAAACTTCTGTTGTCACAAAATAAATGTGAAAATATTAGGAAAAGGCGCCCTTCAATGCAGAGGCTGAAAAGCGCAAGAGGGAATATGAGCGCAAAATGGAAGCATACAACAAAAAATTGGTAATCATTTGTTATCAGTAATTATGCAGAATCTTATTTCTTTTATCGACAAGCGTCGAATGTTAACGTATGTGGTATTTATCAATGGTGATAGGCTGGAGGAGATGATGATGAGTCTGACAAGTCGAAGTCAGAGGTTAATGATGAGGAAGATGAGGAAGGAAGTGCAGAGGTCAGTTGTTATGTTGAGTCCAATTAATCTTGTATAAAGCATTTGCAACAATTGTTGACAATTATTCATCTTTTTCATATTATGTAGGAGGAAGAAGATGACGATTAAGTGCAAAAAAGGCGACCAGATTCTCTTTAGCTGCTTGAATTTCTAACATATGTAAATTTTCTTTCTGTTGACATTGTTGGAGGATTTTCTGGTTATGGATTATGATTTGCCTTGGGTTGGCACTGTTAGCTGCATACAATAGTGGGTTTACAATATGGGATGCATTCTGGTTAGGTTCTCCTCTTTTTAAATCAACTGATGCACATTTATGGTAATCGAAATTAATGATTTCTTGGTTCGGTTTTAATATATTTTTTTAATGGATGATTACAAAGTCTCCTTGAGGCTTGACCTACTACTTTTGACATTATAAAAAATTATTTATATCATCAACGTTTGAAAATGTGTTACTAATTTATTTTCCAATACATTTTGTCATAATTATTTCTTGATGAGGTTGATAGCATTTATTGTTGACAATATTGAGCCTATTTTTTAATATCTAATATCATGTTAAACATGATAACTTATTAATTCACTTTATATTTAATTTAATTTTTTATTGTTTTTGTATTAATAAATTATTTTTATTGGTTCATCTATACAAATAACTTTTTATCAAATTGATGCATTGGATATACTAGTTTGATTTAAATTTTAAGACTTGAACATTATTTTTATGTAATTAATATTACAATCATTAATTAATATGTGTTAAAAATGATTATCTTTTAATGTTACAACATTGGAGATGTTCTTATTTGATGTTTGAAATGTCAAAAGAATTTTATTTTTGTTTGATTGTAAAAATTTAGGGCTTGACGGGGGTGTTTCCAAAAGATACAGTTGGAAATGTAGACATTAATTTGAAAGTTGACTTGGTTATTGGTTGGGTCAAATTTCAAGAGTGCATTTGAAAAATTAACCATGTATTTTCCTTTTCATAATTCTGTTATTAGCCTCATTAACTTTGTTACTTCTTTATTTTTATGTACTACCAACACTTCCAATGTTTTTCTTAACATAGCAATATTGTAAAACATTGATTAAATACAAGGCTTGAAGTCAATTGACATTAACATAACTTGAGCATCAAATATAAGCCTAAAATTAATTGTAACATGCCAAAAAGAACATACATATCCTATAAAAACTAAACCACAAAAAACTTCAATCTATAATACAAATTTGCACAAGATGGAACAAAATCAGTATTTGACATAATTAGACCAATCTTCTATTATGGCGAAACTAACAAGATCACAAAAAATAGATCATAAAAAAATTTAAACACAAAACAATAATACAACACAAACGCGAGGATTAACCAAGGAACAAACAAACTATACACTAAATACCAAACACAAAATACTTGAGGACTAAAGCCCTCTTATGGACAACAAAGCGCAATTTGAGTGGTAAAACGAGTTTTCGGTACTTGTACTTTAAAGCCTACCTCACAATTGGATTTCCTTGATAATGGAATGTATCACTACCACAAGGCTTTCAGTTCTATGGAATGGGGAAACTACGAAATCTTTCACACCTGGTAGGGGCCTAAGGCAGGGGGATCCCCCATCCCGACGAACGGTGGAAAAAATTCTTCAAAATCAACCTCAATGTAATCGACCCAACAAACTATGCTCCCTTAAAGAGGATAAAGCACAGGAACGAGGGTCAATGTAATTGAACGGGTGTCTGTAGGTAGCTCGACGTTCACTTCGCTTTGTTCGTTGGGTTCCAAACTTTTGTTCTATTTCTTCTGACTTTGTGTATATTTGACTTTCATTTTAGGCGAAATATGGATTGCTTGCTATTCATAGAATTTCGACATGACAATGGGTTGCCCGGGATTCGAACCCGGAACTAGTCGGACGAAGTAGGTCGAGGAGAGAAAGTTGGAACACTATTGATCATCTTTTTTAAAAGAAATGAGAGAGAAAAAAAGCCCTCTGATGGAGCTAAAACATAAACGATTGGGAGAATCAAGAGAAAATCCTCAATATATTTTGTTTCAGTCAGAACTCAACTCACTAAAACAATAGAAGAGGAGTCTTTAAATAGAACTCGTAACCCTAAGTAAATATCTCGCCAACAAGTAAATAACTCTAATAAAACAAATAAATTTCCTAACAAATTTAGGATGCCCTTTATAAATATTAAAGTAAAGGAAATAAATAAAAAAATAAATAAATAAATAAATAAACCAATGATGTTAAACAATCATGCTTGTCCAAAAAGGCCAATGCATGATCGTACTCAATGACCCAAAGTAAATCTATACCCGCTACTCCCAAAGCTCCCCCCAAAAAATTCCAACGTACTCAATGACCCAAAGTAAATGGCCTGCTGCACTTGGTCATTTGTTGCCCATGAAATCCCTTCTTCCAATTCATGTTTGACACCAAGAAAATTCAGTAGATGATCGTGGAGCTCATGGAACTTAAGCCCATAGAAAGATACATCACTTGAACTCATTGGGAGATCATGCAACACCGCATCGCACGATATGTGATATCTTTTCTCATAGAAGCTGGATCTAGGAAGTTCATCAGTAGCACTATCATTTACTTCAGCTGCAATTCCACTAGCATCTCCAAAAAAATTGCATACAAAATTAAGATAGTGCTAATCCCCCCAATGAAGAAGAAGCGTCGGGCCGACGTCCCTATTTGTCCCATTTTTGTTGCTATTTTTGTTAGTATTTTGCATGTTTTTTCCCCCGTTTTAGGTCGTTTCTTAGGTGTTACCGGTCCGTCTAGTCATTTCTCGTGTTTTAGTGTTATTTAGTTGTGTTTCGTGTTTTCTTTGTCTTTTCTCCTATTTTCTCTTGCTTTTCGTGTTTGTCCGGTTTTGGTGGTTTCAGGTTGTTCCGATTCCCAGGTGTTTCATCCCAGTTCATGCGACCAAACATGCAAAACTCGAGTTTTCAGCTCGGGCAGTACCCGAGCAACGCGAACCGAGCAAGTGAGCCGAAGGAAAGCAACTTTTGGACCTCGCCGCTAAGGTTAATAAGGCTAGGGGCGCTACCTTTCTTAACGAGAGCTGGTCTGAACAACTAAGATACCTTAGCGGCGCTAAGGCACCTTAGCGCCGCTAAGGTCTGTTTTTATGAAGACGCGATTTTCGTGGATTTTGAAATGGGGGAGGATAATATCGGACCTAGGGCATGATTTTGAACATTCCAGACTTTGTATTTCGAACTTGGGCACTCCATAACTCATTTTTCTCTTAGTTTTCATGGAATTTTGATCTTGGATAGTGAAAACTCCAAGATAGAACTTGTGGATTTGGATTATTCGTGGTGTTTCGACATTGGATTCGTATTTAATCGTAAGCTTTCTTTTTCATATTATCTATGATGATGATGGCTTGGATTGATGTGTATTTCGTTGTTGAATTGATGATGAGTAGCTAAATTCGTTAACTAGGGCTAGGGGATGATTGTTCCGGTTCAATTTCGTTTGTGCGTATGTTGATTGCTCAATCTATTCGAGTTGTTTTGAAGCTAGGGTTGGATGATTGATCATCATCTTAATCTATGTAATCAATTTTAGAACCGGAAGGGGAGGAATCGATCGATCTAGGCTTGTTTAGAATAGACTTGTTCGGAAACGTATTGTCTATGTGCTAATTGCTTCGATAATTGATCGTTTACGTTTATTCTCTTGTTACGTGAGTTATTGAGAATGAATCTCTGAATGAGTGAGTTTTTTGAGTTCCTTAGCCGAGTGATCGATTGTCGTTTAATGTATTGAGAGCCGGAATCGATTGTCCCCGACACCCTAGTCCATTTTATCATTATTTGAATTGTGTTTTGGGGTGTGAAATTGAAATTGCTTGTTCGAGTATCATTAGTTGTTAATCGCGTAGTTGATAATCAAAACCAACCATTTGAATTAGAGTGTTTAGGATTATTTTCTGTTTCTATGACCAAATATTTGCACAATTTAATCTGGCTGACCTTCCTTGAGAAACGACCCGGCGTTCGAATCTTTCGATTCTACTCCGGTAAAAATTACTACAACAAAATGGCGCCGTTGCCGGGGCAGGTTTAGGACTTATTTTGTGCGCCTATTCACTTTATTTTTCGTGTTTCTCTTATTTTTGGTGATTTATTGTTTCTGTGTTTCTCTTTGTTTCTTTTTCTTTGTTTAGGTGTTAGTTCTTTTGTTGTTTTTGTTTTCATTTTATTTTCTTTTATCTATCATTGGTGCTTGTAACCCTTCTTGTTGTTTGAGTGTATGCGTACCAGGAGTGGACGTATACTAGCACCGAACGACAAAACCAATCCCGAGAACTTGAGTGAGCTATTCGACAAACTCAGCCTCGAATCATCCGAAACCACCAAACCAAAGATGGCTCAACAACCTCCCAGTGATCTCCTCCGAGACTTGGCCCAACCCATGATTGGGCCAATCACTTCTTGTATCCGGTTAGGGCAAGACGCCCGAAACTATGAGTTGAAGATGGTCCACTACAATCAGCTCCCATCATTCCACGGGCTCCCCAACGAAGACCCACTCCACTTTATCCGGGAGTTTTACAACGTCCTCCAGACATTCCCTCTGCATGGGCTAACTGAGGACCAATTGAAAATGTGGTGCTTCCCGGAGACTCTGAAGGACCGGGCCAAGGCGTGGTTCATGACCCTCACTCCGGATTCTCTCACAACTTGGGCAGAAGTATACTCTAAATTTGTCGGGAAGTATTATTCTCATAAGAAGGCCCAAGATATCCGGTCCCAGATAGTATCCTTTGCTCAACTGCCGAACGAGCCTCTTCACGAGGCTTAGGAACGTTTCAAAGACCTTCAGAGGCAGTGCCCCCACCACAACCTCTCTCCTGGGCTATTAGCAAATTGCTTTTACGACTCTCTCCACCAGAACTTGCAGTACATGGTGGATAATGCAGCCAGAGGGGACATTGGGGCAAAAACGGCAGAGGAGATGATGGTGATATACGAGAAGATGAGTGCTAACTCGTCTCAGAAGAGCGTCCAAGGGAAGAGGACAACAGTGAATGAAGTTGGACCGAACAACAATGACATGGCTCAGCAGTTACCCGAGCTCACGGAGCAGATGCGGCTATTGAATGCGAGAGGAGCTTCACCAGTTCATTCGATGGCAAAAAACTTTTGCGGCACGTGCGGAGTTCAGGGACACAATTTTGAGGTGTATCCGTTGGCTATCGAGCCGAGCTTCGGAGGACAGAATACTGAGGTGAATGCAATACAAGGCAATCAGAACCGACCCGGTAATGACCCATACTCAAACACGTACAATCCTGGGTGGCGAAACCACCCGAACTTTTCATGGGCCAACAACCACTACCAGCAGCCGCCTCAAACCAACCTTGTTGCCCATCAGCAGCAACCAAGGGGACATGTTGACGGGCGTTTCCGGTCAACGGTTAAAGAAACAAGTAAAAGAGATATAGAATGAGAAAATGACAAAGAGATGCGGTTTAATTACGATTTTATTATCAGATCACTGGGTCGGCCTCTTGTACGAGGTCGGCACTGATGATATCCTTACAATTCTTACAAGGGTTTATTACAAGTCTAGAGAGAGAAAGTAGAGAGATAGTCTGAAAGTTGGAGATTCAACAACCCAAAAATAAATGAGAGGGCTGCTAGTTATAGTGCTCTTAAATGTGGCACTGTTCAGGTACTGTTCACCGGTCTTGTTGTACAGTGTTCTTGCAGAGCAGTCCGGCGTCCCTGACAGATTGTAACACCCCGCTCATCAGAGTAAAATTTTCGCAACTTTTACTTCGAAAATACTTATAACTCTTTCGAAATATTTTGCGACTAACTCGAGATGCTACTCAAACTCATCTTCTTGAAAATCCGTTTATCTTTAAACTTTCTGTCTAATACTTCTCTAGACATAAAGAAAACAAATTTCCTTTAAACTTGTATTTAACTGTACCATATTCATACTCCTCGAAATGGTATAAACTTGAAATCTGAAATTTATTAAAAATGCAAGTTCAATACTTAATGTGCATAGCGGAAATACTTAAAAACGTGGTTTAATATACATACATATCAAATACTTAATAAATGTCCACTTGAAATAAGTGCACGACCACCACCACCACATCTCGAACTCACACCTCCGGCCCAACCCTGTTACCTGAAAAACACAATGGGGGTGAGTACTGATCCTCTTGTACCCCGAAATCACCCATACTAAAGTAAACAACAATAATAATACAATATCATGATCTTTAGTATATATATGGGCTGGAAATCTATTCCAGTAACTTAAACTGAATCTGGCCGATATCTGATCGGATACTTGTGCACAATCTGATGGATATTTCTCAAGGCAACTCAAGCGGCCTCCATCAGAACTTAGGATATACTTTGAGACAACTGAATGCCTCCTCATCCCAAGCGTATAAACTTAAACTGTATACATACCTCGAACATGATATCAGTATTATACTCAATGTAATACCCAGTCTGGGTCCCCACCTTTCTTCTTTTGAAAACTTTTGAAAAATGTAAGTGTTGCTCTTGGGTAGCTATATCTGCAAGCTACATAAAAATATAAACAAATATACTAAGTACTATGCTCGTATACTCAATAAGATTTAACTCTTACTTATCCTAATCTTAAAGATATTCAATAAGCTTAATATGTCTCAAATAAATATTAAGTCATCAAACATCTAACTTTTTCTTAAACTTTTACTCAAGGTTAATTACTTAACCTTATATAAATCATATCTTCAAAATCATAGATATTGGTTTATAATCGCATGTCACTTAAATAACTCGAATGTGAAAATAACTAAATTTCACATTAAACTTGATTGAGTACTTAAACTCAAAACATGCTTAACTTTTTCCAACATCATCAACATGATTTATAAACTCATCTTGATCTTTTACTCAATCAAATACTTAATTCATCATACATTATATCTCCAAAATTTTAAATATTAGCTTATATTAAATTTTCACTTAATTAACTTGAAAGTGAAAATAAACTCAAGTCCTACTTCAACTTTTAATCATAACATTTAATCATGATATTAATATGTCATACTTAATACAATCTTTATAAGATTATATACTCAACATATTGAACTAAAACTTTGACAAATTGCTCATCACTTATATGAGAATTGATCATAATAATCTCACTTTAATTACTTGATCATATCATGAATATTCTTGCATATATACTCATCTTTACATATATGCCTTGTAATTATCATAACTCATTCATTTATCATCTTCAAATCATGAAATTTAACAGTCATATTCTTAACTCATATTTAGACATGTCATAAAAATTTCATAATTTTGTCATGCATATATCTCGACTTATTCAAGTTTAAAGTTGTTGCTGGAAACAAGTACATAAAATTCAGCTTGCATGATAAACTTTAAAAATTCATATCTTGAGTTATACTAAACTAAATTACTTGATTCTTGATCCTATGTAGTCCTCTTTTACACAAGAAATAACCATAGGAAGCATAGATTTCCAGATTTTTCATAGCTAGGTAAAAATTTCATCATAACTGAACACATATGACATATATATGAGCTGGAAATAACTTATTTTCTAGCATA